ACTACCTCTGCTGCTGCAAACTCAGGTCACAGGTTAGCTGGGTCTTATTAAAGTACTGCCAAAGGCAATAACAGGAGTCATATTGCCTGATAATTCTCTCTTTGGTGAAGCCTGGGTTTCCATGATAACAGCTTAAGACTACAAAGCAGCAGCTCAGTTACTTAGGTTACTTGGTTTGTGGGAATTGTGGGATTTCTTTTTTTTGTGTGTGGCATTTTTTCTGTTTTACTGTGACTTCTTTAACACAGTGCAACACAAAGAAGCTCAGTGCAAACACATAATGTTTGAAGACAGTCTGACCCATTTAAAGACATTTAATTTATTACCTGTTATGAAAGCAGTTTCTCTGTTTGCTTAAATGTTTTCAGCTCATTATCCTGCCATGTGAGTTTTTAATTCTCGGCACAATAAATACAATTAATTTTAACTGCTGGTTTGTACCACGAGTGATTTTAATTAGCAATGTCTGTATTGTAGCGGGTCTTTGCATTTGTAGTGCACAAACTTCATCTCTTTTATGTGCCTCCTTTTTTGTTACTTGGGAAAGGCTTTCAGCTATTAATGTATACTGCCAGTTTATAATCAGGTTGTGAGGGTATAAAACAGGATGCCAAAGACTTTCTGTTCTGTGCAGAGTCAATAACAAAAGACAAAGATCTGTATCACTGTTCTGCAGATTTTAGTTTTTTCAAATATTCATGGCTGCAAGGCTTCTTCCAGTCCTGCTCTGGAGCTGAAAATGCAGCCAAGTTTTGGAGTAGGAGTTGATTTGAAAAGAAGTCTGCACTCCATCAGCCTGTGACTTCCACTGAAGGTGATCGCCACTGCTGTCTGATCAGAGATCCATCCATCACCACCTGCAGCTCTTATTGAACCAGACCCCAGGAGAAGTTGAGAAGTTGGCCTCAACTGCATCTCAAAGTAGTCGTTTGATTGATGACGTCATGTTTACTGCTCCTGTGGGAATGCTAACGCAGCCAACTGACCTGTTTCCTCCACGGACTGATTCTGTGCGGTGATTGGCAGGTGTCTGTGGCTGATATGCTTAGACATGTGATCCTTGCATTAACCCCCCGAGCTGCCACCCTCCTTCTCCTCCTCATTCTCCCGGTGGGTTTGGGGATGTTTAGGTTGATATTGAGCTGCTAGTGGAGTGGCAGCTGTTCCCGAAGTGCTCGCTTCACCTCTGGTCTCTGGAGGTTGCAGCCTAGCCAGACGCTTGTAATTAAAAGCGCATAGAGACAGATCAAGCTCTTGTCTTCACTCGCCGTCTAAGATGCCACAAGGCTGAAAAAGAATCCACTAGACAGGTACACCACACAACTACTCATCACAGTAGTGCAATTCGTTTTCCGGGTAAATTCTTTCCAACATGAGAAACTTGTGTTTTCCAGGAACATTGGAATACTACCTACTGTTCTTGATGAAGCCAAATGTGATATGCAGTAATCACAGGCAATCATCAGCTCACTGTTCCCCTGGATTGTTTCCTCTAGTCTTGGCTCTTCCTAAAGAATCCTCTCCAGCCAATCTTTAAATCTGTAACGGAAAGAGAGGGAGAAAAAAAACATTGACAAGGCAAAACCAATAATACATTTCACTTCATATTTAAAACAAAAAAGTTTATTGTTGCGATTTACAGTTTCATGGACACTCATTTTAAAATTATACATTTGTATTTATTAGTGCTTTGGTAACATAAAAACCTGACAATAAATCTTTGCAGGAATGGTGGTCAGAAATCGCTGACATGCTTAACCATATCTACCACAGGAACACATTCAATTCAAAGCATGAATTGTGATTTGTTTTTTTCTGTATCCACCTTGACTGTGTTTCTGGGAGAAGAGTCTACATATCTATAAGGGGCTGACAGATAGCCACCCGCGAAAGCCTCGACCTCGAAACCAACATCCATGACCTTCATGGTGCTTCTGCATCTAGGTGGACAGAAGCCATTCTCTGCTTCAAAGGATTTCAAAATTGAGGTCTTGAAAGGTTCAACCTAGACGTCTGAAGCAAAAGAGACCCTAAAATTTCACCCAGCAAAAATCCCCACCTTCTAATACCCAAACCTTCCCTTTCACAGAGAAGCAGAAACACAGAGTGTGGAGTATTAGCATAGAGAAAGCTTGGCTGTCAGCAGAGCTGCTATTGTCTGTCTGTCTGTCTGTGTCTATCTCCTCTCACCTTCCAGCTGTGTCTACTGGAGCTTTTCTTCCCTCAACCTGCCGCAGTCACACTCTTTCAATCAACACAATCGAAGCTGCCTATACATATTTACGAGATCCAATGCTAATGTGCTCTCTCACTGCCACATATTCATATTTACCAGCGCGAATGCTCTGGGCTGCCTATTTCAGATGTTATTAAAGGACGGTTATTGAGGTGTTATTGATGTGGCAGCAGTCCTCTGGCTGTAGGGCAATACGGCTGCGCTCAGCGGGAAGAGCAATGGGTCTGTTGCTCGAAATGGGCATAGACTGCCTCTTTATGTCACTACAAAGCAATGATACAGTACTAACTGTTATGTAGGATCAACCCATACTGTATGATGATGCACTTAAATTAAGTTCTACTGAATTGAAAATCCATCATATGTAAACAAGCTACATAGTACAGTATTAGTACAGAAACAACAAGGCAAATAATGAATTAGCTGATCTACAGGCAATTATTAGACAAGAGTTTTGTTAATTGAGTGAATTATGAAGACAAAATGTGCTTCTGAAATATGATATTTTGCTGATTTCTTTATTTTAAATTACTAAATATTGAATATTTATTGCTTTTGGACTGTTAGTACGACCAGTTGGAGACATCACTTTGGGTTATCAGAGGAGGCGATCTGCACTTTTCACTGTTTTCTGACATTTTATATGCTGCACTAGTGGTTCCCAACGTGTTTTATAAGCCAAATCCAAGAGATTGCAAAATATTTAATAGGAAAGGAAAGCCAAAAAACAAATGTTCTTCTTCACAAAGTTATGTTTATATTTTGGGACCTTCCTGTGTTTATTCATGTGAATTACTGGATCTTTGTACTTTTTCAAGACTCTTCAAAATTACTCCAAAAAAATCACTCTTTGGTTAATTAATTTGTTAATTTTCATAAAAAGTCACAGTCATCAAAGTAAAGGCATACCTGCAGTGCATTAATTACAATCAGTGTTTGAGGAAAGATTCAGATGAACAAACAAACAGTCCTGTGTATTTCCATACAGCCAGCGAGACGCTTGTGTTAGGTTGCCACCCTTGCCTCTCTCAGCACCCGCTGGTTGCACTCCACGGCTCGGGGCAGCAGAGTGGAAACACAGCAATCCTGGCACTGCCAGTTCGCTCTCCGTGTCCACCCACCGTAGAGAGCACCAGTCTCCTCGTTCCATCTGTCACTCTACTCCCATAATCCCCTGCTCCTGTAACCGATCTAATGACATCTTTGCCCAGAACAATGGTGAGGGCAGAGCTGTGTGGGTTTTTTTAAATCCTATATACAAGGGCTGGGAAAAGAAAACTAATAGGTTTGTGTTCAGAGTGAATGTTAAAGGGTAATACCACTGTTTTTTAAACTTTGGCTAATCGTCAAGGTTGGCCTTTACATAATTCCAAGTTAGTCTGCAGACATTCTACCTAATCTGAGCTTTCTCTCCAACATACTATGTTTTATTGTTTGTTATGAGGGTCACTGTACCAACCTGTTCGGATGTTCCGGATTCTTTTGGTTTATTTGTCCGTAATATGGCTGAATATTCACAAAAGATTCTAATGTCAATGCAAGTACAAGCTCTAATGCATCATATCACACGCCACACACGTTTAACCCCTCTTGCTCCTGTCAGTCAAACCACTTTAAATTAATGTTTACAAAGGAATGAGGGACAATAGAGCATTTCTGACTCATTGCGATGATGGCCGCAGACAGGTAAATCACACGAAATGTCAACTAACTCGAGTCTGATTGGACTGGGAACACGATGAAGGCTCCACACTGGCACGCACTTCTTCCTCTGACATTCTAACATGCATTTTTGGCATGTTTCTGACGCTGCTTCTCCAAAAGGGAGGCTGTTTGATATGCTTCCCCCAATCCACTCCCCGACCGACGTGTTTGTTCTCTAGCCCTGCCGCATGTCATAATGGGCCGAGGCAAATCACTTCCAGCCTGGAGCCGAGATGGTGATTGTATCAAACTGACCCCTAACAAGCTGTCAGCTCACATTTGATGAAGCATGCATCAGGACTGGGCTGGGCTTGGCAACCATTTGGACAGAGTGGACAGGTCTTATTCAAGCAGTGTTATTCCCTCAGTCCTCTGCGCCTCTTTCTTTGTCTTTCTGTTTGACTTGTCTCACGCCTAATAATGATGGCATCCAGTGGTGCAGTTTGATACAGACAGTTGGTCTCCACTTGCTCTTCGGTGTTTTAAAGTCATGAAACTACATGAAATGTATGATCATATGGATAATGGATGGATGGATGGATGGATGAGCGGTACCTCAGTTTCTCCTATTACATCAGCTCCAGTGCTGTGAAACCCTCAGTTCCCCGGTTGACACATAGAGGGAGCTCATGCGTGCTGAGAAACCAAAGCGTGGAAATGCTGAATGAGTGAGTGAGAGTGTGTGTATGAGCGAGAGAGCGAGAGAGAGGGAGAGATAAAGAAAGAGAGAGAGAGAGAGAGAGAGAGAGAGAGAGAGAGAGAGAGAGGTGCGGTGGACGAAATCACATCGTAGGGGAATAATAATGTGACACGAACCCAGCTGCTAGGATATTCATGTGAACTGTGCGACAGGTTTAAGGTGCGCTTTCGTTTCGGACCAACTTTGGCCCAAGTAGGTGGGAACCTGGTGACCCACGGCGTGCCCCGAGTCGGCGTGACAAGTTGGGAGAGGGAGGGGGAGAAAGAGAGAGAGAAAAAAGGACTCGCATCACTATTTTTAAATGGGTACAGTGAGATTTTGGGAGGGGGGGGCGTGGACGGTAGAGGAGTAGCAGTGAGCATGTTGGCTCTTGGCTGCAGTTCCAGCGTAGTGATGTGCCGGCTGAAAGAACCGGACCACGCATAGACGGAGCGGCAGGACGCGGAACCGTGAGGTTGCAGCAGACTTTCTGTCATTTTTTTTTTTAAAGCTTGTTTGGCATCTATTTGGATTTACTTCTTCAACGCGCTTGGCGATACAAAGGACTTAAAGGAAGGACGATAAGCCGTGAAAGCGTGTGTTGTTTCTCCATTTATTTCTGGAAGACGCGGCAGTTGCCGTGCGTAACAGACGAAATCTGGTCGAGCAGCTATTTGAATGACAATAGTTTGAGGAAACAGGTTTCCTATTTGTTTAAGGAAGCCTAATTATCGGAACTGACTGCGCATGGTAAGTCACCAAGTCACCGTGGGCGAGCAGAGATTCATGTTTTAATGACATTTGGGATTTGAATGCCGCGACAAGTGAAACTGAAGTGATCTCCATTTGTAAATATTGACAGGTGTCACAATACCGACTGTGTCAGGCTGAGCCTTTCATTCACTCCCGGCTCTGCTATGTCTATACACACCGCGGACTCATAAGGTTGGGGATGGTAACCAAACGTTTGGAATGGAGAATCCGAAATTTGATTAATCCAGTTCTCTTTACTTTAATACTCCGCGAACGCACACATTGTTATTAACAACCTTATAATGCGTTTGAAACGCCGAATGGCAAAGTAACCATCACTTTAGTGTCTTCTTCCCTCCGAGTTGTAGCCTCTCTGGCAACAGCCAAAATGACAAGCAACGGACCTGTCATCGTCTACGAGTGGCTCAAGACCCTCCAGCTCGCCCAGTATGTCGAGGCTTTCGTGGATAATGGATATGACGACCTGGAGGTTTGCAAACAAATCGGAGACCCAGACCTGGATGCCATCGGCGTCTACATTCCTCACCACAGGCAGAGGATTCACGACGCAGTGAGGAGGCTGAAAGAGGAAGCCCAAGAGACGGCCAGTGGACTGTACTTCACCCTGGAGCCGATGCCCCCCGCGGCTGAGATTTATACCAGTCACATGGTGGACCAGTATGAGTCCAAACTGCGGGGATCCAAGTCCTGGACCGAGCCCAACAGTGAGCGGGTTGGGCGCAACGGTGGCTACATGGGCGCGCAGAGGAACCTGACGCTGGGCAACAGGAGGGAGCTGGTGGTTTACCCCAAGCTGAAGCTGAAGATTATGATCAGGGATAAGCTCATCAGAGATGGCATCAACCTCGCCAAGCCGCCCTACTCTAATAAGGTAAGAGGAACCCGGATAGACGCGATGACATGTCATGTGGCACAAAAGGGACCATCACCTGCCAAAAGTCATCCATGAGAAACACTGGATGAGAGCACAATACACAGTGCATCATGTTCAATACTCATACACTGAAAAATGAACCCACTTAGCAAGTAATTTAGTCTAATATCCACTTATGCAGCCTCTCTAAATGTTTTATTTATTTATTTTTAAATAAAGTATAAGTGTTCATTATTAAGGTGAGAAATGACACCTGATTTGAGATTTTTTTTAAAAAACAGGTTGGTTTTCAAAACAACAGCCAGACAAATCTTTCAGATTGGAGAAAGTATATATATATTTTTAGGCTAAACACGGATTGAATGATTTGCAGAGGTTGTTTTTGCAATGTGCTAGAGGTGTTTGTGTGGCACGAAAGGGGCCTGTCACCTGGTCTGCATCATACATCATCTGGTTGAAAGCCCTCTGTCAGTCAGAGTCTCACGTAAAGGGCACCTCTCATCGACGTGTTCAACATCAAAAATACGGTAAGAAACGGAGCCATATAGGTAAATGCCGGTGTGGTGCTTAAACATTTCCAGCCGCAGCACTTTACAGAAGTGTGAGTGGTTGCTGTCACGGTGAATGATGGGAATGAAGTTTCTGCAGATCAATAAGCAGAGAGTGGAGAGAGAGGAGATCCTGAGGAGCTTTTCACCCGGTCTGTGATTTCCTGCAGGGGGAAAAAAAGATTTACGCTCTGATTATTAAATCTATCCTGACCTCACCTGTCCAGTGACTTGCTTCAGCATTCAGCGTGGGTGGATTAACCAGGCCCACAAGCACATAAAGCCCAGGCTCTTTGCTGTGATGAATGGGCAACGGGCTATCGATGGCAGGGGCAGTAAATGAAGAGCACCCAGCTGGGTTAGGCTGTTTGCAGTCCTGTGAGGAGCCAGACTGAGAGGGCTTCTTGTTTTCACAGGACTAGAAGTGACCTTTTCTGTGTCTGAATCATATGCCTGACCAGCTGAGAGGGCTCCACTGCTGTTCGCATACAGGGAGGTTTTTGACTGGCTATTCAGGAGACAGGGGTCATGTCCTCTGTATTTTTTTTTTGCTGAGGGCATCCAGCAACATGCAGTTTTGTTTTACAACTGAATATTAAACTCTGACACTGCATGAAGTTTCAATGATAATAATCTAGAGTAAGAGGAGTCTTATTGGCTAAACAGCAGAAGAGAGCAAACCAGTCCTTATCTATAGCAGCATGTGGATTGGAAGCTTGTGTGGGACTCTTATTGTCCTCATTCAGCAATTTCTCACATTATTTCCTTGGAAATACTGACTTAGAAATGATGTGCTCTACTAATCCAGGCCTTAGGGTCCCCTTAAGGAAATGTTCTCTGTGGTTCTCAGGAACTTGCACTTGAATCCACTGATCTTGAGCCAGTTGATTAGCTTCTTTTCAGTGGCTTTTCAAGGCGGAAACAATTATCCTGAGTAATTCTGTGTGTGAAATGCTAGGATTTATACTCAAGTCTTTAAAACTTTCCACCAAGAGGGGTGGGGGTGGGTGATGAAACTATTAGACCTCCATATTTCTAAACTCCTGGCTACCGCCCTGTGTATCAGTTGGATTATCTGTGTATTTGCATATCCATGTGTATGTAACGGCTTTTTCTCATTTTCCATTCCAACTGAAACAGGTCCTGGTGTTTATATTCATTTATTAGTATATCTACCTTTTGATATCATTTACCCTATCCAGTACTTCCTTACTTGCAAATTAGCTTTTCAAACTGCCACCAGCTTTGATGTCATTTTTTTTTGCATGTCTTGTAAGCTCTCTTTTTTTTTTGTCCGTCTGTATATTTCTGCCACTTTGGCTATAACTCTGAATTCCACAGAGATTTTGGATTTGTGAGGGACCTCTTTGTGTGTGTGTGTGTGTGTGTGTCGCTGTGTGTGTGTGTGTGTGTGTGTGTGTGTGTGTAACCCTGTAGTTTTGAATTGGCTCCAGCCCAGTGCTTTTCTCCCCAGGAGGAGCGAGAGGAGTGTAAAAGAGATGGAGCTGTGACCAGCTGATGGAGGTTTGACTAACTGGGCTGTGATTGGTCTGTAGATATCTCCCCTTTCGTTGCCTTTGAGACGAGATGTCACCCCCAGCAGAGACTGAGACCAGAGAGGCAGACTTGGGGGCAATTACAGGACACACAATGTCAGTCTCAAGGGATGTTCATTGTATAGTATAACCAAGATCTCCATCCACATTTAAACTGTCCTCTCTGCTCTCAACGCGCTGGGAATTTTCATGGCCTAAGGTCTGACAGCCCTTCATCTTTGTGTCGCTGGCTTTGTCTGCATTGTTTGTCATTATGCAAAGAACATCAATATAAGCACTAAGATTCAGAAGTCCTCTCTAGCGTGCACTAGATTATTATTATCAAACAATTCAGTGAAAGGGCTCTGCTGTGTGTAATAAATACCCATGATCCTTATCAAGGCCGCAGAGACCCCTTGTGTGAGAGAGAGTATTATTTCTTATGATGTAAACAAACACTTGTGCTACGGGCTGCACATTTCTAGATCTCTCATCAGGGAACAATATAAGCAGAGAAGCTGGTGCTGCCGGTTTGCCTCTTGTTGAATGCACTGCAGTCATAGAATTAATGTTATGTAAATTATTTTGGTCCAATCCTTCTCATGAATAGAGATTCAAAATGTTGACGCTTTCTGTTTGTCAAGTGTAGAGTCAGTAGGTCTGTTCTTTGTTTTTATTTCAGAAAGGTACCATGCTGTAATGGCTTATGGTCACAGAATTGTAATCCCAAAACAAATCCTTTTTTTTTGATAAGTGAGTAATGACATTTGAAGACCTTGTTAGAGATTCGTGTCTTCCACAAATGTTCCCTCAGGGACAATAATTTTAAGTTGAAGTTAAAATTGAAGGGTTTTGTAGTTGTCAAATAAGTGCAGTGAACAATGGATATTCTAATTTTACCACTTCCCTTTTCCCTTCTGTTTCCTATTACCTTCTCTGCTCCAGTGATTTTCTAGGGATTTTAAAACATTTTATCTTATAAGAGAAATATCCCTTTTACTTTAAATAAATCGGCTCAGTGCTAAACAATTTGAAGATGCGTCCTCATCCCGGTCTCATCCAGATACTGGTGCTGAAAACAGCAGACACAGTCAGTCATAATAGCGCCTCATTGTTAGTGCTGTGTTTCGGGAGGAAGTATAAGCTAAACACTGGGAGATTCTCCATTGTTTGTATGGGAGCTGATGGAGCCACATGTCCTTTCACTACTGGTCTGTTTTGCATTCCCAATTTCCGTCCATTGAAATGGGCTGCGGAGGCAAGTGTCCAGCATTGTGCCGATGGGTTGGTGATAAAAACCTGGGTGTCATGCAGAGAGAGAACGGGTTGTAAATAGATGGGCACATTGTTTTTACTGGCCAAACAAGATTTGGTGGGCGCTGGGGTACGAGAGTCTCTGTCTCCACCACCACTTTGGCAAGTTAGATGTTCAAGGCTCTTCACTGACTCCCACAGAACAGCTGATCAAATGTGGTGGGAGGGAACCGTGAGAGGCCTCCAGGAGCTTAACTGGCCTTAAGAATGTAAGAAATGCAGTGGACACCCAGAGGTGTCGTGTCTGCCAGGGGGGTAAGCAGAAGGAGAGGCAGCTTTTAACCGACTGTGTTATTAGCTTTCTACAGCAACAAAAGAGGAAGTTCATCACCTTACATGCCAAACACTAACCTCACTTCCTGTTCCAGTCCTTTCATCTAGATTAATATCCCACCACCCTCGGCAGGCAGGAAATTACATTTTTGTTTAAGATGACCCTCTGTTGGCCCACTGGTTGTTGAACTGCCAAGACTTGGTGTGAAAAATAATTTGAGTTAGTTTTGCTTTTAAATTATTTCTGGTCCAAAAATAAATATGGTGGAATCAAAGTTTTTAAATCTCTAAGCTAACTGCCAAGTAGAGTGAAGCTCAGGTAAAAGCAGAGATGGAATTTGGCACAAATGTTCATTCAAGCTGCTGTATTATGTGTTTATTCCATTCTGTTTTCCACTACATATGCATGTGATGTATGGGTTATTGTTGTTAAATGAAAAATACTTGAACCAAAAGCCATCATTTCAACTTATTTTACGGCTAAACTAAGAGCCGTTTCAATGGAACACACAAGTGAAAGCTTTTCATTTAGCCTGTGTTTTTTGGCAAATATCATCTTCATCTTTATCCCATGCTATAGGGCTGGCATTTTGCCATAAAGAGGGGAGAGAGCTTTTCACAATAGCCTCAGAGTTTTCCATGGGTCCTGCTGAAAGCTCTGTTTGCTTAGTCTTTATTAAGGGCTCCTTGAAGGCATAATCAACCAAGGAATCATAAAGAGGGAAGTCATAAAGAAGTCAAGGACTAGCCTCTATTGTCCTGAGAGGACAGAGAAAGTCAATTAGCAAAGTGAGCTGCTGTTTACATTATAAAAAAGCAGGGTTACACGGAGCACTAAAAAGAGATTGATCAAGTTCCCATCAGATGGAAAAAGTGACATGTGTACTCACTTAGGGGCTCTTTTCGTAAACAACCCGTGTTTAGGGCCTTTTTAAACCATCATTGTTGAGCATAAACTACAAGTACCAGTATCAGCTCTTTGGAGAGCAGCTAATTGTGGTGAGGACTGATGGCTATCATGCTGACCTTTGAACTCACTGCTTTTGACATGTTGGACTCAAACACAAAGCTTTGATGTGATCTCAGCGGAGACAATGAAAGTGGGTGTCAAAGCTTATCAATGTCAAATTTACCTCAAATTTGATAAAGTCTGTCGTTTTTAAGCACATGTGATCTATTTTCCATCTGCAGGAAATGGTGTGTGCAATAAATCATGAGACAATTTGCACATCTTTGCTCCTGTTGATCCAAAAACAATATTCACTCCTCTTGTTGTAATGTACTGAGGGAGTTTCTGTCTGTCTCTCCTTCAGAAAGACTTGACCAC